GACGGCACACAGGATTTGATCACGCAATGATGATCAGTGCAGAATAGATCATCGAGCAACGATGCGACTCCCCTCATTCCTAATTTAGTAATTTCCTATGGCCATTTGCTGGATGTGTCTGTCAGCTAGAACTGTATTGTGGAGACCTCCCGCTGGTTCTAGCTTGCAATGCAATATTATAGTATCATAGTACCGTCTTCACCCAGATACAACGCATGGGCATGATACCTGTATCTGGACTGAAAGGTGCACTGTATACAGCTTTAATGACCGGACGTTTTATTCACCTGAAGGAGATAGGCAACACTGTGTTTCAGGGTAACGGCATCAAACAGAGGACACTGGAACACAACGCATCACACCGGTGCACACAAGGCATGACAATATTGTTATCACCCCCCCCCCCCCCCCCCCCCCCAAGGAAAGAAAAAGAGCAAAGATATATGATGCTGCATTTTTGCTGACTGCTTGGATATTCGGCTGAAGCACCGGGCCTGCCGGAATGGACCCTGGACAGTACCTAGCGGGTGGCCACGTGTATGATGTGTACGTTGTGGGCCTGTGGCAAGGATCCGAGGTCCACACCCACTAGGTACAGTGATGGATGCAGAAGCCTATTTTCCGTGCTGCAATCGTCGATGCAGCAGGCAATCCGTCGGCTATGCTGTTCTATGCTCAAAGAGTCCAGATTACACAATGTGAAATATTCTCTTTGTTTGAAGTAAAATGGCCTCCTGGGCCCAAAAGAATAGCGAAGTTCCGTCACATGGCCGGGTTTTCAGCGCGAGGCGATCGAATGGGGGAGATGGCGGGTTCACATGGCCCAGTTTTCAGTGGGAGGAGACGATCAAATGGGGGAGATGGCGGGGAGGAGAGGAGGGAAGGGAGGACGTACCACATGTAAAGGATGATGGATGGTCTCCTGTTGCGCTGGCCGGTTTCCTGTAGCGAGTTGAATCGTTGGATGGTATCTGCACTGGAACACTCTGTGTGAGTTCGTAGTACTTTGTACCCGCCGCAGATGTGCACTGATCATCTCTAGCTGTAGTGGGACGGCGATCTCGCCGGCAGTATCTGTCACGGTGTGGGCGCAAACGTGTACTGACTTTCTCTAGCTGTAGCTTATTCTATGCCTGACTCTACAGAATACAAATTCAATACATAGTACTTATTTCCATGTCGCCGCATTCAGTAGCTCTCTCCGTGCATACAAGGATGCTATAGGGCTGTGTCCACTAACTTTTTTCTTTGCTGTCCCCTCTGGAGATGCCTTGTGTGAATGCAAGCCGGCGACGCAGAATGTCAGCTGACTCCTCCTCCTTCCTTCTCCTTGTCTTGTTGCTGCTATTAGAAGTTGATGATAAAACTATGGTCTGCTAATATTGGTGTACAGAGAGAGGAAACCAGATGAAGGGCTGCTAATCTGCAGAGCAGCACCAGCGGTTGCTCGATTACACTTCCATGTGGATTCCTTGCTGCTAAAGGTGTCATAGTTTCTCTCATAGTCAGATTGCATTTGGAATTCCTCTAACCTTGTCGTCCGGACTCGTCCCCTTTTTCACTGCTGCCCGGTTGAAACGATTGTGCGGCGCATCGACTGCCTGGGTTTGATTGCTTCGCAAAGTTCGCATCATTTCACGTGAGCAGTCCTTCCCATACGGGCAATTTGCAGTGCTCTTTTCTGCAAGGCGTGAGGCCTTTGCCCGTGAAAGAAAAGGGCCTGTGCCCGCTGGAAACCGTCTGAGCCCGCCCTGAAAGTGAAGGCGGGGCCCTTAACAATTCGAGGCGGGCCTGAAAATAGGCCAATGTGGGCAGGAAGGGCCTTGTGGGTTGCTTGCTGCACGCAGTAGGCCCGATCGGTTGAAGATGCTCCGGCCCTGAGAAGATGCCTGAGGCCAAGAACACTTGCAGTTGAGCCCCAGAGGCACATTTTCTGCAAGGGTCCTGGGTGCAGCTGCTGGGACAGACTCGGAGGCAGAGCATCCAGAAGCTGCCTCGCCCAGCCAGAATCGATCTCATTTATGCCGGCTGGCTCGACAGCGGCAGCTCTGCAGTAACACGCGCCGCGGCGCTCCCCTCGGTGCTGGTCGGGCAGTACGGCAGAGCGCTGGCCGGGCGCTGGGAAGAAGCTGTGCATACACAGCTAGTACGCAGGGCAGCAGAGTGCCATAGCCGGAATCTTCGTTCATCATCGGGCTGCTGATCTTCACGAAGACCTGTTGTCGTCGGTCAAGACTCTAGGTTGCAGGTTCTCGCCTTATACGGGAGTGACATTGAAGAGATTGATGTTGGAGGCGAGGAGAGGGCTTTCATTGCCAATTGCCCTTATTGTTTTGCTCTTTTTTGGTGGATCTCTTGTTGCATTCTCTGCTTTCAGTTCAAGCACACGCAGAGCGCTGGCCGGGCTCTTTTTTGGTGGATCTCTTTTTTGGTGGACTTCAATGGGATGCTGCAACTTGGTTTCTGTCATTTGCTTCGCTCATTTTCGCCAGTCACTTGTCCGACTATATCTCATAATTGCAAAACAGAGCTCAGGCATTCCGTCAAGTTAAAAAAGAAAAAAAAAGGGTGAAAATTTGAAAAACGAAAAAAAAAAAGAAGGAAAATTTTCAAGAAAACGGAAAAAAAAGGAAAACAGGAAAAACAGAAACGAAAGTTTAAGAGACTTTAAAAATAAAAACAAAAACTTCAAAAAGAAGACGAAGAAGGAAAAAAAGGTAGGGTACCAGCCACACCGCCCGGGTAACCTTGTTTTCCCGGGCTGCCCAGCCGTGCAAGGGCCACAGAAGGTCTCGACCCAAAAAAAAACACTGGAAAACAATTATGTTATGCAGAAAAATAAACTGAACAACATTTGCCTCAGGGTCACATCGAATTTTTTACCACATTAAATATATATACAATGCAATACTTTTCAATTGCAACCTCTCTTATTCCCTTTTTATATATATATATCGTCAAATAGAACTGCCCGGTAAACCGTAGGCAGAGAGGGAGAAGAGGACAACAAACGAGGGGCTGTGACAAACTGTTTCGTCGGAGTTTCACCGACTCATCATATATATATATATATATATTATTTTTATTGTTGGGCCCGGCCGGGGGTCCCCGGCCACTCTGGTAGCCTAGGGAAAAAGGGAAAAAACTTCAAAAAAGCTAGGCTACCAGAGTGGCCCGGGGCCACTTGCCCGGCTGGGCCAAAAAAAATTATATTTTTTAACTTTATTAAAGTTTATTTTTCATTTTAAATATGGTAAAGAATTTCGATGTGACCCTGGAGGAGGGACCAAAGGCAGCATGCGACAACCGTATGAGCAGGCTGGAGGCATTACCCTCCCCGTGATGCACTCGGTGCCTGCCCTAAAAAAATTGGGGCAGGCACCGATTGCATCACGGGGAGGGTAATGCCTCCAGTGCCTACTGATACGGTTGTCGCATGCTGCCTTTGGTCCCTCCTCCTTGCCGTATGACAAGCATGGGCAGGATTTCAACGCCGCCGCACATCAGCAGCATATGGAAACCGATGAGGGTTTTTGGTAACTTTTTACCCCTGGTCCTTTATATGGAGACCTGGATCGAGATGGACAGTTGTGCTCCACAGTTGACGCGTGCGTATTCTTCGGTCGGCGTACAGCTTCCGAGTGCATTTCACTTGGGGCGGAGTGGATGTTGGCCATTTTAACCTTTCATGCCGGCCAGGAGAGCGATGTCAAAGCTGCGAACAGGAGAGAGAAGTCCAAGCTGGAGTGAACTGCATGTGGTGGGAAGGAGAGTGGTGGAGAAGGGTGGGCTCCTCGATCCGTGTGGAGCAGAGAAACTTTTGCCGCTTTGCGTTTTCTCTTCGATGGTCCCTACACCGGATCGCTTGAGCATCGGGTTGCTAAATGGCATGATTTCCATGGACGAAGTTGGCCGGGCATTTCCTTCTTTAAGGTACTCAGTTTTATTTTAGCAGTGTAAGTGCCCTTGACGAGAGCGAGAGAGAAAAAAAAAAAAAAGAAAAAAAAAAGAGAGAGAGAGAGAGAGAGATGTTTATGATCAAAATTACTGTTTTTATTTGGTTGGTAATTTCCGAATTTCGTTGGTTTTTTCGTTTGACGATTATTAATTACTGATTGTGGTTTGGGGCTTCGGTAATTACTAATTACTAATTATGTTTTGGTTATGTTTGTTCATAGGACGCGCTTGATATGCTCGAACTGATTATAATCATGTATTACTCTCCAGGGTTCAGACTTGGGTGGTTAAAGTTTATTAGACACTATTTGGTTTGTGCTTTAGTGTTAGTCACTGTTAGGGTTACCTACGTTAATTAGAAATAATTAGGGTGACGTTAATTATTGTTAACACTGTAAAGTATGGTGTGACTCAGCCATTGTGGGTTATTCCAGGCCGGAGGGCTTAGACTTCGGTGATTAAAGTTTAGACGCTAGTTTGTTTGTGCTTTAGGGTGTGTTAAGGTTACCAATGTTAATTAGAGTTAATTAGAGTTAATTAGAGTTAATTAGGGTGTGATGTTAATTAATGGTGAGACTCAGTATGGGTTGTGCTTTAGTGTTAGGGATACTGCCGTTAATTAGCGCTAATTAGGCTAATTAGGGTGTGATGTTAATTTGTGGTGTGACTCAGTCGCGGTGGGGTTATTCCAGGTCAGAGAGCCTGGTTCATCCCTGCAGGCCGTGGTTATTGATGCGAGGGACGCTGGGCCCGTTTCCCAGCTTGTGATGATATTCCCTAGAGTCCCTTTTGGGAAAAAAAAAAAAAAAAAGTTGTTCAGTTTATTTTTCTGCATAACAATGATAACATAGTTTTTTTTTGTTTTTTTTTTGGCTAGGACCTTGCCTGGTCCTTGCACGGCTGGGCCGTCCAGGAAAATAGGGTGACCCGGGCGGCCCGGCTGGTAGCCTAGCAAAAAAGGGGAAAAAAAAAAAAAAAAGCATATGTAGCAATACCATTGGTATCTGAAGAATAAAGTAGAGAAACTTACGGTAGTGAGACTCTCTCGCGAAACATCTCAGCCTACAACAGGACAACCTTGCTGACCCTGGGGTGCAGAATTGGCCACCCACCGATGGGTTTCCAACTTTCCAAACTTTCTCACAAATTCCTTGGTTACTTCCTTACGGCGGCAATTGCCATACGACAAGATTGTTACATAAGCATTTTGACTGAAACATCTATGATGTTTCAGCCCCCACCTCCTTAGCTTTAACGAGAATAGAGCTTTCTGAAAACATCTACGATGATTCTATAATAGAATCTATATCCCCTTTGAAATTCTCCTTTTCTTTAACGCCTGCCAACCCCACACCCTGCCTGCCAGTCAGTTGACAGATGGGGGCGTGATTTCACGAACGCGCTCCGTTGGAAGTTCACCTGCCTGAGCATGCGTGCACACACGCACTCCCTTCCCTTCCCTTCCGTTCTCGCAAGCGCAAGCGAGCAAGCGAGCAAGCGAGCAAACTTGAAAAACAGCAACACCCACCTCCGAGCACGCGTGCACATGCACACTCACTTCTCGCCTACAGACTAACGTTCCCAGCCTGCGATAGCGTAAGGGACGCAATGAAGATGTGTGTCTGCAAATTCGTACTGCTCACGTGCTCGGCACCTGCCTCTTACCATCTCTCCTCCTCGGCGCAGTTTTTTTGGTGGATGGATGGTCGCGCTGGGCCCAACCGATCCAATGAAGAAGACTCTCGTTTACACAGAATTGATCTTGGGTCATACCCTCATACCTTCCTCCGCCGTTTGGCTAAAAATAGATCGAGCAGGGAACGTATCTGTTCCGATCAGTTTAATATCTGCCCCGTGGTCCATCGGGCCACAACAAAAAAAAAAAAAAAGGAAAAAAAAAAAAGAATTGATCTTGCGTGTGAAGTTGCTTCGTTGCGGCAAAGTACTACACAAAAGTTACAGCAGCAAAGTTCTCCTGCCATTCAACAGCACACCATCCCACCCCCCTTTTTTTTATAGACACTAAGTGACTAAGAGTCTAAGACACAGATGTTTTCCACCCCCAACCTTCAGAGCCTTTCACTAACATTTAAGCTGATTTAACAGTGAAACAACTTACCTTCAGACACAGATCTTTTCCACCTCCAACCTGCAGAGCCTTCAACAAGGGTTGAAAAACGTAACTTACCTTCGACGCGACAAGAGACGAACAAAATCATCAGCAACTTGTTGATGTCAAAAGAAATCAATAGCGATCATGGACTAGAGACAAAACTTGGCACCGTTCCGTCCACGGCCTCCGTACAAACGGCGACGGTAGGAAAAAGGCCGCAGAAGTTGGTAGAACTATTGGTGGTCCTTCATGCCCTGAGATACACCATCTCCTCAATGGCAGGAATGTGGAGGATTTGTGAGAGCACCTCTTCCGATGGATCTTCATCGACGCCTATTGCCATAACGGCATGCTTCCGTGGACTTGTTCGACCAACACTCATGAAAGAGACGTTCACATTTGCTTCACCTAGAAGGGACCCCACTCTCCCAATCATTCCTGGTTGGTCAACCTGGTGGCAGAGGAGGATACCACCTTCCAGAAGGACGTCAACAGAAAACATGCCGACCCTTGAGAGGTGGGGGCTTCCATCCTTAACCTGCCACATTCCACCGAGCAAAATAATGGTCATTGACGGCATAGAAATGAGACGCACAAGCACAACACCAGCATAATACCATGCAAATGTGGACAATTGTACACATACACACGCGCGCACACACACACACACACACACACACACACACACACACACACACAGAGTCATGCTTTTTTTGAGTGTATAGCAAATACGACAACACACACACGAGTAAAACACTGAAAAAATGCTTCCGACGAAGACGAGAATGTCACAGCCACACCCAAATTATCACGCATGCATGCATGCATGCAAGCACTGCGACTACACACACACACACACACACACACACACACACACACACACACACACACACACACACACACACACACACACACAGAGGCAAGCACTGAAATGCTTCCAAGGACGGTGAGAATGTCATGACGCAACCACACACAACCTAGCATGCACACACGCATGCAAGCACTGTGAGTAAAGTCAAGCACTTTTCGCAGGGGTGTCAGAAACTTTGGGCGACCGGCGACATGGTCCGTCCTTAATTACTCCTTGAGTCCTTGTCCATCAGTCAACTGCACTCCGGGCAGACTGTTGGGGTTCAACCGCCTGACGGCTCAGTTAGAGTTCGGTGAAAATGTCTTCCAGGGTCATGCTTTTTTGTGCAGTCGCGTATACGCCGTATAGCGAACATTACAACACACACTCACACGCACACACGCACTTGCAGCATGACTTGCAAACAGACAGTCACAACAACAAAAAAAAGAAAAGAAAGAAACAATTGCAGGAATAGTAGAATACATATCAGTGAAGTTTTGCAGAATAATCTCCTAACATCGACCTGGCATTTTTTGCACAGCCAATGTGCGAAGGATTGAATGTGCCATGCTCCTTATCTCTTTACCTCCCCATTCTTCTCTTCCTCTTCCTCCTACTCCTCCTCCCCCTTCCTCCTTCTCTTCCCCTTTCTTTTTTTTAACGGGTGACGGCCTTGAGGTATCATCATTGAGCTCACCGGGCCAGGTAATTCAAAATTACTTTCTTTTCTTTTTTTTGAAGGGTGATGGCCTCGAGGTATCATCATTGAGCTGACCGGCCCAGGTAATTCAGAATTAACTTTATTCATTGCATCTGGATTCGAACTTAGGTCTGTATTTCGACAGCTCATGGGTGCACCAACTGAGCTAGGCTCGTTGGTGCCACACTCCTCCTTTTTTCCTTTTTTTTTTAATTAAACAGGTCCTTATGGCCCTGCCTCCATTTCCATTGTGGGGAGCGTCAGTCCGGTTCCTGTTCCAACGGCAAGTTAATCATTTCACTGCAGTCCTTGTGCAGCCTTGCCAAGCTCATTGCCACATGCTTTT